TGATCAAATATTTTCTTTACGGCAAATATTAGAGAAAAAAATTAGAGTACAACTGTATTGTTCACCAGCTGTATATCGATTTAAAAAAGGCTTACGATTCTATTGACCGCCAAAAACTGTATAATATTCTAATCGAGTAGGGGATTCCCAAAAAACTAGTAAATCTAGTCAGGATGTGCTTGACGGAAACACTCAATAAAGTAAGAATCGGTAATAATCTGTCCAAAAAGTTTGAGGTTCGTTCGGGTTTTAAACAGGGGGATTTCCTTTCGCCTGAACTGTTCAATTTGGCATTAGAACATGCTATTAGGGAGGTAATGCGCACCGAAAAAGGGTTGGATCTGGGTAAGACAACACCCGTGCTGGGCTATGCGGATGATCTGGTACTGTTATGCGAAGACGTGGAAACTATAAAACTAAATACGACAACATTAATGAATGCCAGTAAAGAACTAGGACTAAAAATAAACACGGATAAGAAAAAGTATATGGTTAGCTGCAAAAATGGTGATATTACTGGTGACATCGATATAGATGGTAATATGTTTGAACAGGTAGAGAAGTTAGATAACTAGAAAAAACAAAATTGAAGAGGAAATCAAGGTTAGACTGAAGGCGGGAAATGCTTGTTATTTTTCTGTCACAAAACTACTTAGTTCGCGCCTCTTGTCCCGGAACTTAAAAATTATAATCTATAAAAGCATTGTCCTACCTACAGGTCTTTATGGTTGCGAAACGTGGCCGCTTACATTAAGGGATGAGCAACGACTTAAGTTTTTTGAAAATAAAGTATTTCGTAGAATATTCGGATCGAAGTAGGATGAATTAACCGGAGAATTCAGACGGTTACACAACGCCGAATTACGTGAACTATATCCGAGTAATATAATTGAGATGATTTCATCCCGGCGTATCAAATGGGCCTGTAAAATTGTTAGGCTTAGTAACGAGAGAATTCCTAAAAGGTTCATATTTGCTGTACCGAATGGTAAACGTCCGATGGGTAGACCGAAGCGAATGTGGGAAGATTGCATTAAAGCCGATCTGAAGGGACTAGGTTTGGACGGCGAACGATGGAGGGAGGTGTGTAATGAGCGATTGGTGGTGTAGGCATCGAACCTTCGGGTTCGCTAAGCCTTTTATTATTATTATTCAAGGAAAATGGCCAAGAATGTCACCTTCTCCTTCTGTTTAATTTACTATGCCAATCCCTTCCAAGGCTGTCAGGGATATTGTCATAATAATTCTGCTTTAAGAGCTGGTGATATTTATTGCTGTGGACTGTAAAATTAGAGGAGTTAATGGATTAAAGAAGTGAATATGTAAAATTGATTGCTTTATTTTATTACATGTGGTTTTATACGGAGGTTAAATATAGGTGGGTTGGGATACTTGCATTTTTTCTTTTCTTGTTGTGCCAGTCTTCTTGTTCATCTTCCCTCTCTTCCTTTCTTGGCCCCTTGCCGGCCGCTGTAGGTTTTTACTCCATTTTTATTATACCAGAATCACAAGATTTTTGGAAAATCACAATGGAACTCACAAACACGAAATTTGAACTGGCCAGTCTTGTCATTCTCTGACGCTACGTGAGCGTCTATGCTTCAACAATGGCGGCGTCGCAATAACAATGACTGAGGCATACATGCAGCATTTCCGAGATAACAGCTGTGATGTGCTTACTTGATTTGATTCAAATATAAAGTTTGATGTGTTCCCTAAACACCTTCCTAAACCTAGTCTACCAAACAAATGGAGAAAGGCAGAGGTTATACCAATATTAAAAAGTGGTAAGAAGCCTGACAAACCAGAAAACTTCAGGTCAATATCACTGACAAGCTGTTTATTTAATTTACTGGAAACGATGGCAATACACAGAATACTGCCAGTCGTGGAGCAAAATAGCATACTATCTTCATTACAAGCAGAGTTCAGGGAAACCTGAAGCACAGTCGAATAGATTGTTCATTTTTCATAAAAAGTGAAAGACGGCTATCATCGAAGCTCCTTAGCTGTATTTGTGGACTTCAAAATAGCTGTTGACAGGGTCTGGAGGAAAAAACTCCTCCACAAGCTTATGGGAATAGGGATACTTGAATATCTATAGAGGTTCTGGCCTCCTTCCTTTCCCAAAGATTCATTAGGGTCAGTTACAAAAATAGATTTTCAGAATTTAAACAAAGAAAGCAGGGACTTCCTCAGGGGTCAGTGCTGAGTCCTCTTCTTTTTTGTTTGATGATCAACGATTTGACTGAATTTCTGTAAAACAAATTTCCTGGGCTAAAAATGCTATTGTATGCTGATGATTTAGTTTTATGGGCAACTAGCAGTAACATAAATGCTTTGCAAGATTTTCTGAGCAACGTTCTGAAGGAACTAAGAATTTGGTGTGAGGCTAATGAAATGACGCTAAATTCATCAAAGACAGAATTTCAACTGTTTTCGCTGACCAAAAATATTCCTCCCATTACTTTGAAATATGGACCAGAGGAACTACCAAGGACTGAAGCAGCCACCTACCTCGGTGTTTAAATTTACAGATTAAGCTGGAGTCTACATGAGGAGGAATTGGCTAATAAAAGAAAACAAAGATTAAGTCTACTTCACAGAATAACAGGAACGAAGTGGGGAGCGACGCAGGATGTACGAGCGACCTTGCTTGGAATACGCTGGAGAACTCTTGATAACAGCACCTAAAAGTGCATGGCAAAAACTGAAAAAAGTCCAAAACTAAGCACTCCGGATAATAACAGTCTACACCCATCCTAGCTATGCAGCTATAAGCGAACGTCGAGCATATAGTCAGGCTTTATTTACAGTCAGCCGAGGGAGCTCCAAGTCGGGCCTTTTTCCCCACGTGTGGAAGATAAGGCAGGACTTTAAGAGATCCCAGCGCTTCGCTCTCAGTGGGTCTGCCGAACTAGCAACACACAATGGAGGGGCAGGTGCATACTCTCAACTGTTTGCTATTTCGAAACCGGTTGGGAAATGGGCTTCAAATTTCGGCAGCGAAATAAGAGCAATTTTATTGGCACTGCAAAAATTATCACGCTTAGATGCCAAAAATCTCTTATAGTTTGTGTATTCAAAGGCGGCTATTCTCGCTGTGTATCAGCCAAATGAAACTTTTTGCTAGGATATTCGGAAGTGACAAAAGGTCATAGAGGAACTACTTCTTTGAGCAACAGATGTATTCTTTCAGTGGATACCAAGACACTGTGGTCTCCATAGAAACGAAATGGCTAATAACCTTGCCAAGGACGGGTCCACATTGAACCAGCCAGAAAAGATATCATATCAGATAGCCAAAAAAGAAATAAATAAGGCCAGTGAGGCTCTAATACGGTTTTCCGTAAAGAGCTGTATTGCGGAAAAGCAGTGGAGGAATTTTTATTTAATGAAGCCGATCGAGTTCCCATGAACTTGCCGAGAAAGGATGATGTTGCAGAATTCCGGATGATAAAAGGCCACGACTACCTTAGGAAGCACCTGCATAGAATAGGAGTGGCAGACTATTTAGACTATTTGCACATATGGCGCGCATATTTAGGTATATGCTCACGCTTATTGAATGTAAGAGATCTCACGTCGTCCAAATCGGAATGGTATTAGGCTGTAAGATCTCTGATGGTGGAAGCCGATAAAGAGATGCATAGTTAAAAAAAAAAAAAAGATATAATGAATTTAATCAAAATCGTAAAAATGTTAAAATTGATTATATACTTTACTTATGGTTAGTCGATTTTGAGAAAAAAATTGCTGTAACATCCGAGGCATATACAAACCATAAAAAAAATTTCAGTTTCGTTCTAATTTTCTTTCTTGAGATACACTGTACACTCAAGGGACACTAAAAACGTCTATTCCCATTGAAAACTAGCAATCAAAATTTTCACGATCGCAATACTTTCCCTCACTATAAATTTGTGAGGAGAGGGAAGGTTGAACGGAAAGGGAAGTTTTCCTCAACAAAGTTTTCATCAAGCGTATAAAAGAGAAAGGGTAAATTAAGTGAAGTAAAGTGTAAACGATATGTTAAAGAGTTCGAAGGACTAGGACCAAGGAAATTCGAAAATCCAGCTCAATCAGTTCCATATTCATCGTCCTGGACTTACTGAAATGGAATGAAAATATTTATTTGTTGAATATCTTAATGTAAAACCTTGTTCTAGGGTAAAGTTATATTATAATATATTGAAATATAATATTAATTGATGCCATGAAGGAGGTGAATTGCTGGACTTGCTTGGTCCTTGTCCGTCCAATTGGATGAAACATCTTTAGTTTACATTTTGTTTACTCTTTCATACACTTTATGTAAACGCTTGATGTAAGTATTTGTTAAATAAACTTTTTATTTCAATTTCAGTCGACTGGTTATGAACAGTAAGTACCCCCTCTCCTACTAAAACTTCCCCCTTCCTTCCTCCGCCACTCCTTCTTAAAAATGATCAATTTAAGAAATATTTATTCCACTGACTCGTATCAGATAGGTTATTGAAGATATAAAGAAAATTGTAAATGATAAAACATGAAAATTGTTATAGCTTAAAATTTTTAAGTTTGGAAAATTTGCCAAAGTCAGAAAATCTGTAGTTCAGAACTTATTAGGTTTACTGAGCCTATTTTGTTTTCAAACTATAGTAAATTTAATTTATTTTGTAAATATATAGGATATTTATCTTTAAAAAAGTTCTTTTGACTTTCACAGTTTTGGCGATATTCAAAAGTGATCCAAGGGAGTGACACAGAGGTTGAAAATTTAATTTGGTATCTTAGTCACATCCCATACAAGAAAAAAAAAATCTTCTACCACCACTTGATGCAACTTATGATGTACAAGGTTATGGGAGTACTGAGGTGCTATCTCGAAGTTATCATCCATCTTGGCTTCAATTTAACATATTTTTTAGAGAGATTCTTCAAACAGTAGATAATTAACAAATTGAAAAATGTATTATTTATTAGTAAAATACATTCAATAGATAAAAAAGTAAACTTACAAAACAGGATTAGAATCTATCTTATAATTCAAACTGTCGGCTGCATTTTTGAGAACACTTAAAAAATTCTTTATTGGTTCACCCCTCATCTTCACATTAGCAGTTGCGTTTTTTGAAGCTATTAATACCCATTTCTTCAACGGCACACTTGAAAACATTTTATGTGAACGAATAGAACGAAACCAATCTCCTTCCTCCGCCGAGGGAGTTATGGTAGGTTCTTCGTCGGAATTACGTCCCATATACAAAATCTCGGGATTTAAAACTCGGGCTGGGATAGATTCCAACGATCGAGAGAATTGGATATTCCAAAAATTAAGTCTTTCAACAACCTAATAAATTTCAAAGCTACAATTAATACATATTTAATATTTTAATTATTATCTAATTTTTTATATACTAAAAATACTATTAATATATAAAATGAAAAGTTTCATATATTATACTTTTACATACCGAAAAAAGATTTTTGGATAAACCAATAATAAAATACGGACTATTATAAAAATATAGATGTGAAAATAAATAACATTCTTTGTAGACATCAAACTATGTCGAAATACTCTTAATTTTAAAATAGATAAATTATAAAATATATATATGTATGTATTTCATACCTCAGGACATCCATATAGCTTGTTAATAAACCTATAATAACTTCTAACTCGTTTGTTAGGTGGTACACGAGTACATGTTGCAACTGCAGTCATTAAGTTGAAATTACTCCTAAAATAAAAAAGCAAACAATAGTGCATCTAATCAAATATGCAGATATGCACACAACATTTTAAAAACATATGCTTTATATTTGTCAAAAAAATGGAATATATTTAATTAGAAATAAAAATATAACCAATTTATGTAGAGACAACTTTTTTTTAATAAAAGATTCTAAAGAATTTTGTAACATTTAAAAAAAATCTTTACAGCTAAATTTAAGATACACAAATATATATATACACTGACAGGCAAAAAATTCCACCCACTTGATTTTTTCATATTTTCATCTAAAAATATTTCTACTTTGGATTGGTCTATTGTTTTTAATGAATAAATAGGTAATCTTTTTGTTTGTTTTCAATTAGGAATGTTAATATAGAGGACAATAACCCTTAATCCTTAATTCAATGAAATGATTTTAGATTCCAATGTTTAATCTCTATGTAATCAAAATGTTTATTCAGTATCATTAGTTCAGTGCCGTTTCTTGCAGCACATTTCTTAGTCTTCGGCTTTTAATTTTTTCAATATTAAGTTTAAAAATGCCTATTAGTGCTGAGGATGTTGCGCGTGGTGTGGCACTTATTGATGATGAACGTTCCATTAGATATGCAACTAATGCCATCGGAGTTCCATATGAAACTTTACGAAACGGCGTTAGGCGTTTTCGAGAAACTGGTTCTTACGATAGAAGGCCCGGTTCTGGACGGCCTAGGGTAGCAGAACCACAGGATGACCAGTTTTTGACTTTGAGAATTTTACGAAACCTTCACCTAACCGTTGTTCAAGCGATTCATCAGCTCGAAGAAGTTCGAGGTGTGCAAATTTCTGACCGTACCGCTCGGAGAAGATTAAATGAGTATGGATTAATGGATTTTCGTCCAGTCCAGAAACGAAAGACATGCAGCCTTTAATTTTTCCCAGAGCCAACCTTTCCAATGTGGTTCCTTAATCGTGTGGGCTGGGATTTCAATGGAGCGCCGCACAGAATTGGTTGTTGTTCGTGGAGGGTCTTTGACGGCCATTCGCTATGTAGATGAGATTTTGGAACCTCATGTGTTGCCTATCCTCAACGAATTTCTATTCTAATACACGCCCCGCCCACATGTCGCCCGCATAGTGCAGACGTTCCTTCAACAGAACAATATTGAGTTTTTAGCCTGGCCCGCGCGTTCTTCAGATTTGAACCCCATTGAGCATTTATGGGATAACCTCAGAAGACGAATAAGAGCGCGTGCAACACTTCCTGATACACTGCACGACCTTGAAAGGGCTCTTCGGGAGGAATGGGCAATCCTCCAGCAAAGGGACATTTCCCAACTGGTGGAACGTATGCCGAGGCGTCTTCAAGAAGTAGTGAAGGCAAGAGGAGGAAACACGCGCTACTAAACGATGATGTAATTAATTTCTTTTAGAATAATAATGGTTCGTTTTTCAATTTTTTTTCTCTAATTTTTCTTACCCAATCACATTTTGATTATCAAAGGTAAAAAAGATTACAAAATTCCATAAATACTAAGTATTATCTACAAATACCATGTATTATATACAAAACAACTTTACAGAAATATTTTTAGATGAAAACATGTAAAAATCAAGTGGATGAAATTTTTTGCCTGTAAGTGTATATATATATATATATATATATATATATATATATATATATATATATATATAATAATTAAAAATTTCTTATAAAAATAAAAATACCTCATCTCATCACTAAGACCAGTCATTAGGCAAAGTTCAGGAATTAAATAAATATCTTCAATCCTTCCACCCCTCACGTCTTTCGCTTTGGGCTTTGATAAAAGCAAAAACTGATTGTAGTCGGTTATTGTCCTAAAGTGATTCTAAAAAGTAAGGATTTTAATTTTTCATTTGTTTATAAGTGACACAAAAGTAGCAAGTGTCATGGCCGCAACTGCAGTATAACTTTCATGTCGCTCTGTGATTGTTATATTGTTATGTGATTAATAGTTAAAACTCTTTGGTAATATTTTATCAACAGTGACTTTATAATTAGTTGAACATTGAAACGTTCACGGATACACAGGTGAGTTATTAACAATGAATATATGATAAATTGGTGCTCGTTTGTGTAGCCCAAGTGGCCGTTAATTCCCTTGCCGTTCTTATCTTACCAACGTGAAGTTCACGGGCAAGATTTTTATATTAGCTCTCTCTCGTCAGCTGGTCTCAGTTCGAAACCAAAGACTAATAGATTTTTTTTTCTCCTAGGGACAGTTTTGTTTTAATTATTTCTTATCTTTTTTATTTCTTCTCAGAAATGTTTTGTTTGATTTCTGTTTCTAAGTTTGTAAATAGCTTATTATTTTTTTTAAGAATTTATAAATATTTATTTTTGTAATTCTAATGTAGGTATATATATATATATATTTTTCTTGTTCTTATCATAGAAAACATGAATTTGTACAAAAACTCTTCATGTGAAGATTTAGATGACGAGACACCATTTTCGGAAGTTAGCGAAACTGATTCGCAATATCTGAAAAGACGCTCACTTCAAAAACGTCACAGAAACTCTGTCCCTGGGTCAGCGGGCAATTCACCCAACAACATAAAAAATAAATCGACAAAATCTAAATTGTCAGCCGAACAAAATAAATCCAAACCAACAGCCGAGCAAAATAAATCACCACCTAAAACTAGAAGCTACCACAGCCAGCAATATTTCTGTTCTTGTTAGTAATTCACCAATCAAGAAGTTGGAGCCTCAAAGTCCTCCGACCTATTTTTGTTTCCAAAATTGATAATTTCTTATAATTTGGTCAAGAAATTGCCGATCTGATAGGACAGACAAATTTCCACTGTTGAAAACGACATAAAGATCAACACAAACTCAAGAGATAATTATAAAACACTAATCAACAACTTCTCATCTAAAAACTTCGATTTTCACTGTTATCAGTTGAGGCAAGAAAAGGCATACCGAGTGGTCTTGAGAGGCCTACACTCAACCACCCCTATATTCGTTATCAAGTGAGGCCTGGAAGAAATAGGCCACAACGTAAGGCACATATCATGCGTATTACATCCAACGCAGAAATATCCATTACCTTTATTCTTCATTGATTTGGAGCCTGCTAATAATAACATCGAAATATTTCAAGTAAACAGGCTTATATATTCAACCGTTAAATTCGAAGAACCTAGACAAAAACCAGTGATAGTGCAATGCACTAAGTGTCAAGAACTGGGGCACACAAAGACCTATAGCCATCATCAGGCCAGGTGCGTAAGATGTGCCGGCTTACACGCATCTAACACATGTCAGAAACCTCTAGACCAGCCTCCTAAATGTGCTCTCTGCGGCGAAGACCTCCCGGCAAGCTATAAGGGATGTGTAGTCCACAAAAATCACTATTAGCTACGATCTCGGAACAAGGCATTAAAAAACATTAAACATAATCAAGAAAGTTACACCGACCCTACAGAAATTGAAAATATTTCAAATTTTCCGAAATCGCCTACAAAAATTATCCATGTCACACAACAAGAACCGTTATTGAACTTGAACTGCTTTTTTCCAGGGAAGGTTTAAATTTTCCCACGTTACGGCAAGTGGTGAGGGCAGATCTAAAAGATAAAAGATCTCTATTCACTTCTTGACCAGCAGTCACCCAGCAAGGACCAACAGTCACGGCGGAGGACCCTTCAGGTAAAAAAAGATGTAGGCTGGCATATATACGGTGAGCTATTTTTTTTTTTTTTTTTTTCCATAATCATAAACTACCAATTCCTTAAGATACAATCCGCTGCTTAAAAGTAGAACGTTGCCTTAAAATTTAGAATGTTGCTTTATTGAAACTCATGAGAGTTATTTTGTCATAATTGAAAAAGTTGCCTAAACATTTGGCCCACCGGACACGTTAAATAGTTTTTTTTTGCCATATTAGCGATGTTTTGCCGTGCGTAAAAGAAGAAAATTGCCTGTTAGGTTATGAGAGGTTATATAAAGATCGACTATTTCCGGGCTGATATTCGTATTACGCCTATTAATTTTTTTTTTTTTAATGTACCTTACGTCGTTTATTAATTTGTTGCGTATTTGGGAGCGCCAGAGTAATACAATTGTTTTTGTTTTTTTTATGTAAAAATTATATTCCCGGCCTAATATTCGTATTTAGCCTAATAACACGTTTTTCAAAAATATACTTTAACCAATTGATCTAATGCTTTTGTTAGGTATTAGGGGAAATCAAGCAATTTCCGGACAACTTTCCAGGAATATTCAGGAAAGAACAAATAGTGACTTGCTGGAATTAGGACTTCGTTAATATTTACGTTAATCCTAGGGGTGGGGTGGCCGAATGGGCTAAAGCGTGTGCACAGCACCGCGAGTTGCCCGGCAGACAAAAAAGTACTAGTTCGCGTCCCGGTGCCGCAGGGGATTTGAAATTTACCGCCCTCACCCTCCGGCACGGGGAAATCCCGTATAGCCTATACGGCCAGATAGGAAAGAACAAAAAAAAAAAACTTACGTTGATCCTTGCCTCCTGTGCTGAACTTTGAATTTATTTTGAATAAAAGGCCTGCACCACTGAACATTAAAATTTAATTTTGAATAAAATTGGGTTTTGCCTTAAGCAATTAAAATTTGATTTGAATTTTATTTCACAACTTTGGTAATGGCACCGACTAAGGGTACTGAGGGAGTTTAAGCTATAAATGATAGAAAGGAAAGGATGTTTCTTCGAATTCAAACCACATATGATATGATGAAGGGTCTCCCTGTTAGAGAGCAAATTTTTATGGTTAGGGCTTCAGAAATTAAAGCGCAACTAGAGGAATTTGAAGTGGTGTTGAACAAACATTCCGTGCTAAATGAATCATTAGATGAAGAACATAGAATAGAAGTAAACGCACCATCTCTAGCGGCGGAAGACCGTTAGTATGAAATAAAAGCTGCGCACGAGAAATTAATTAAAGCTGAGCACATAGTTCCCGCTTCTTAGCTCATGTCTGAACCAGTAGCTTATTCTAAATTGCCAGATTCACAAATTCCTCCATTTCCCGGTACGAACTATTTCAATTATTTAAGTCATTATTTGATGCCTTATCATCGAAATTATACAGAAATAGTAATGTTTCCATACCTCGAATCACTTTTAGTTCATTCTGTTTCACCACCCACTTATTACTGAAACCCAAACCTGGTCCAGATCTGACGAAGGAAAATCTCAAATATTTGCTCAACACATCTTCAAAACATTTAATCCACACCCAGATACCCTTAATCCAACCCAACTTGAGTTTATTGAAGCAGAATTGAATATCCAACTCCAATTGAATCCTCCACCTAAAGCATTTCATCCTTTAGAAATATCCAATATCATTCATAGATTACCTTCCCGCAAAGCTATTCAGCTATCCTGACCAGGACCTAATCACATCCTAGATTCTAAAACTGCGTTCTAATAAAGCCATACTATTTTTCACCTATATATAAAATGAAGAGAAGGATGGTTGGGGTGAAAAAAATAAATAATAAATATTATTATTTATTTTTGCCTTTTTATTTTTGACTGATTACTGCACGGGAGTCTTTCTCGACGTCTAACAGGCGTTTGATAGAGTCTGGAATCCGGGACTGATTTACAAATTCCGTAAATGCCCAGCACCTACATACTACCTCATTATCCGTTCCTACCTTACTGATAGTAAAAGTAAATCATAACAATGATTTTTCATCTCTTTTTCTCAGTTGGCTGGTGTTACTCAAGGTAGTATTCTAGGTCCTATTCTTTACACAGTTTATATACCTGCTATCCCAAACCATTCCAACACTGTCATCACCACCTATGCCGATGACACGTGTATCCTATCAGCTAATAACGATCCATCTATAGCATCCCAAACTCTTCACTCACATATCACAAGTCTTGAAAAATGGTGTCAAAACTGGAGGATTAAAATAAATTCCAATAAATCCCACCAAATTACCTTTACTCTTCCTCATAAACCTATAACTTCCTGTCCTACAGTATCATTTAACATTACCCCACTTATTCCTGTTGAACAAATCCGATACCCAGGACTCCACCTTGACAAACGACTCACTTCGAACTCCCATACCAGACTGAACCACCCCTAACCATCAAATTCCTCTCATATCCAATCCAAAATCCTTAATCTTCCCTACTTTGTCACAAATAAAATAATCCACAATGACCTTAATGTACAATATGTTTCCGATTTAACTCAATCCAGATACCTCTCCTTCCATAGTGAACTTCTGAACCATCCGAACCCTTTTGTTTCCAACCTTGCTTCCTCTTCTATTCCTGATAACCTTCCGAGGGATCTGAAAATAAGATGGCCTTGGGATCTTCTAATATAGAAATATAATTGTAGTGCTACCAATGGGTATTTTCTCTTCATGTTGTACATGTCATGTTACGGTGGCGGGGTGGCCGAATGGGCTAAAGCGTGTGCACAGCACCGCTAGTTGCCTGGCAACCGGATAACAGAGATTTGAGATGATTTAAAAAGTACGAGTTCGCGTCCCGGTGCCGGAGGGGATTTTAAATCCCCCCTAACCTTCCCCCTCCTCCCCGCCGGCCCGGGAAAATCCCGTATAGCCTAAAAGGCGAGGTAGGGAAGAACAAATAAAAAAAAACATGTCATGTTACTTGTTCATATTTACTTGTTGTATTTATTATTTAATACAATTGTGAATTTCAATAATAATAAAAAAAAAATTAAAAAACAGTTACACATATTTCTGGTGTACAATAAATTTAGCATCTACTTCTGTATTCAGCAAATATGATATCAAGGAGAACAAGACATAGCAAAAAATATATAGTAAAAAAAAAGGAGTGAAATG